TCCCCCAATCCAGAGTTGGTGACCCTCAATGTTCCCTCTAAGCTATGGAGTCTTGTGAGCAAAAACTCTACTTTGGGAGCTACTGGCATTAAAGTTGTGAGCGAGCAATTTGGCTACTGCATAAATTAGTTTGCTCTGGAGCCCTCCTTCCTGAGCTGGAGGCTAAAAAGCTGTGAGCTAGCTCACACTAACTCAGCTTAGAGGGAACACTGGTGACCCTAACCCCTAACCCATTCCTTCCACTAACATGATCATCTCCACTTTCACTATTTATTTATATCCCAATTTTCTCCCCAGGGGACCCGAAGTGGGTTTCATCCTCCCATCACCCCTGGGAGGCAGGCTAGGCTGAGCGTGCATGATTGGCCCAAGGTCACACGACACGTTTCCTTGGGTTCCCACCTGCACTTTCTTTCTTCCCTGCGATCAAGGTATCTTTTTAAAAAGGAATTCACTAGCATAGTGGAAGAAAGTACTTTTCATTGGAAAGGAATGGGCAAGCTGAGAGTCCCCAGGGCCCCCTCCTCTTCTGCCCACCCCCTCCCCCTCGGCTTGCGCTTTCCTTCCTGCCCATCCACCTGCAAGACCGTCCCCCCGGGCCCGTGCTTCCCCGCCTGCTCACAAGCCCTCCGACCACCCATGCTCACAGCCACCTGCAGTGCCCGGCGACACCTGTGTGCCCTCCCCGATGGCACCGGGCAGCATATGCAATCGGGAACAGAGGCAGCACCGGAGGAGTGCTCGAGAGCGGAGGGCGGAAGGGTGCATGGGTGGGTGGCAGAGAAGGAACATGGTCTTGGGCCCTGGCAGCTGCTGCCCCCACCTCAGGGTATGCTGATGCCGTCCGGCCATGTAAGTAAGTATAAGGCAAGAAAAAGGGGGAAAAGTCAAGAGGGCAATTGGAGGGTGAAATGTCTGGTGGGAAACAGGGGTGTACAAGCTGAAATGTATCAGGGTGGGGTGTGTGTGCATCTTACATTTTTTGGGGGAAATTTTTTTAAAACCCTCATCTGTGGGGGGCATTGCCCCCCAATGCCCCCCACACACACTATGGGCCTGCTGTGAATAATTCAGAGCCAGGAGGCAACATCAGGGGAAGGCCTCTGCCTCTGTACCCTGTTGTTGGCCATCCAGTTGGCCACTGTGTGAGCCAGGATGCTGGACAAGATGGACCCCTGGTCTGTTCCAACAGGGGCTCTTCTGATGTTCTTATGACGTTGTCCCCATGGAGAAAATGGCAGCGTCAGAGAGAGTGGCGTCCAGCACCACATCCCTACTGAGCTCTCTCTGCTCCCCAAACTCCCCCTTCCCAGGATCCACCCCTAAATCTCCAGGAATTTCCCAGCCTGGAGTTGGCAACCCACAGTCATGAAAGCTGTAGGCCAAGAAATATAGAAACGTATAGAATGTAGGAAAGGTTGCCATTAAGATAGATTCAGATTAGAACCAAAAGAGGAAGTCTGGAATGCTGAATAACGTGCAGGAGGTGTTTCCCCCCCTTGGCTGCCCGAAATATCAGCCTGTCCCAGCCGGGCCAGCCCTTCCCTTTGGCCGCCCTGATTGCCTGAAAATCCGTTAGTCCCATCACACTTGTTTCCCGTTTCAGTTCCCTCTTGTTTTGCTTCAGTTTAAATTAAGGCGTGATGTGAGAAAGCCACTGTGGGTATAAATATCGGCTATGGGAAGTGAGAAGTGGGCCTGTCTGGGGAGCCAGGCCCCTCCTTGATTTATTTAGGCCCCGACTGATTTATGACTGCAGGTATGCACTTGCTGCTAAGGCACTCGAGGCGATTTACAGTTAAAATGATTAAAAGGCAAAGCAACAAAAATAGCAGAAATCCTCTCAGGCCACTGGTGGTCTCGTCTTTGGCCTCCTGCTGAGGCATTCTGGGATAGCTAACACAGTATAGTTTGGTGTAGTGGTTAAGTGTGTGGACTCTAATCTGGGAGAACCAGGTTTGATTCCCCACTCTTCCACTTGCAGCTGCTGGATGACCTTGGGCAAGCCATAGTTCTGTCGGAGCTGTTCTTGAAAGAGCAGTTTCTATCAGAGCTCTCTCAGCCCCACCTACCTCACAGGGTGTCTGTTGAGACAAGACGGTATAGTTTGGTGTAGTGGTTAAGTGCGCGGACTCTAATCTGGGAGAACCGGGTTTGATTCCCCACTCCTCCACTTGCACCTGGCTGGATGAACTTGGGCAAGCTGTAGTTCTGATAAGAGCTGTTCTTAAAAAAGAGCAGTTTCTGTCAAGAGCTCTCTCAGCCCCACCTACCTCACAGGGTGTCTGTTGTGGGGAGGGGAAGGGAAAGGAGTTTGTAAGCCGCTCTGAGACACCTTTGGGCCACGCCCAGCAGGAACTTTGGGTAGTGAAGGGCGGGGTATAAATCCAATCTCCTCCTCCTCCTCCTCCTCCTCCTCCTCCTCCTCCTCCTCCTCCTCCTCCTCCTCCTCCTCCTCCTCCTCCTCCTCCTCTTCTTCTTCTTCTTCTTCTCCTGTTGCCCAGGCTGCTTCAGGCTGGTGCTTCTCTCCCTGTTTAAGATTGCCAGCTCCTAGTTAAGAAATTCCTGGAGATTTGAGGGTGGAGCCCAGGGAGGGAGGGGCTTAGGGAGCAGAGGATGCTCAGCAGGCATCATATCACAGAGTTCACCCTCTGAAGTAGCCGTGTTCTCCAGGGGAACTGATTTCTGAAGTCTGCAGATCAGTCATAATTTTGGAAGACCTCCAGGCCCCACCTGGATGTTGGCAACCCTAATTTTTAAACTGTTCTTTCCGGATTATACAAATGTGCCTGTTTAATCTTCACATGCTTCTTTCTTTTGAGATGTCCATACAACCTACCTTCCTTCCCTCTCTCCTTCCGTCTTCTGTGTCACAATCTGCTCGAAGCACCCAGCACTGTTCATGAAAACAATGCATATTCCAACAAAACCAGATCACCAAATGAACACTGCTGGCAAGAGGGCAGAAAGGACTGGCAGTTTCAGATATTTGTAGGCCTTGGGCAAGAGAGTTGCCCTTGGGCCTCCTCGAGTGACGGGTTGTCATTTCCCTAGAAAGGATGTTTTTCTTGCTCAGTGACACAACCCTGTGTCTCCGTCTCCTGAAATGTTAGATAGAACTCAGGGGCACCCAGTGAAGTTGAAGGGCTGCCGTTTTAGGACAGACCAAAGGAAGTACAGTGACCGATTAATATGTGGAACTCACTGCCACAGGAGATGGCGATGTCAGTGTCTGTAGAAGGGCCCAGACTAGACAAGACCAAAAACAGTGCTGTGGTTTTTCATGGAGTCAGAGGAGAGTCTAAGGACCAGAGGCAACCAACAGCAACATCGGCAGGCAAGGTCTGATGTCCAGGGCAGCAAAGGGTAGAGCAAGAAGGGGCAATGTTAAACAGTGTGTTCCACAGCCTTGACAAGCTCTTCCAGTTGAAGAGGCAGTGTGCAATCCACAGCTTTACAAAGCCTGAAGCATCCTGATTGGTCCAAAGTGAGTGTCATGTGTCAAGGCCTAGTCGGGTGACATCAACGCAGGAGTGGAGGTAGTAGCCCAATGGGCCCTGTTGAGCCCCCGACACTCCTGCCTTCCACGCCCGTACTGCAGCTAGCCCTGTAGCACAAGGTGAGTAAGGGCTGTGGTTCTGTGGAAGAGCCTCTGCTTGGCATGCAAAATGTCCCAGGTTCGATCCCTGCATCTCCCGTTAAAGGGACCAGGTAGGAGGTGATGCGAAAGACCTCTGCGTGAGTCTCAAGAGAGCCACTGCCAGTCTGAGAAGACAGTACTGACCAGTGCCGGATTTACGCATAAGCTAAATAAGCTACAGCTTAGGGCCTCGCAATCTGCTGGGGCCTCGAATAAAAACACATTATAAAAAATGATTTCAAATATTAAAAAGGCATATATATTTTAAATGTTTCTGAGACCAGGTGATGTAATTTAAAACAGTAGGGGGCCTCTGGGTTTTGTATAGCTTAGGTCCTCAGCAAGTCTAAATCCAGCCCTGGTACTGACCTTGATAGACCAGTGGTCTGATTCAATATAAGGCAAACTTTGTGTATATAAGGCAGACTTCGTGTATGGCCCACTTAGTGACTCATCCATACACCCAGGGCTATTTTTGGGCAGGAACGCACAGGAACGGAGTTCCGGCTGGCTCCCGAGTTGGCCACGCCCAGCAGGAACTCATTAACATAATAGGCCACACCCAACAGCAGAAACCCATTAGGATTGGCTACAATTAAGGGTGTGTGGCCTAACATGCAAAAAGCCCTGGGTTTTGACAACAAACAAGGTAAAGAGAATAAGAAGCAAAAGGTGGGCGTGGCTGAATGACCACACCCATGTTCGATTGTGGGGGTGTGGCCTAATATGCTAATGAGCTCTCTGTCAGGGGTGTGGCCTAATATGCTAATGCGTTTCTGCTGTTGGGTGTGGCCTGTTATGCTAACGAGTTCCGGCTGGGCTTTTTCTACAAAAAGAGCCCTGCATACACCTTACAAGTGATGGCCACTAGGTTAGCTGAATTTAAAGGGGGGAGGCAGATAAATTCATGGAGGACCGAAGTATCCATGGCTATTAGCAATGCTGGCTAATTGGAATCTCCATTTGTAGAAGCAGTAGACTTCTGAATGCCAGTTGCTACACAACAACAAAGGAAGCTTTGTCTTCTGTGTCCTAGCTTGTGGATCTTCCAGAACATCTGGTTGGCCATCGTGGGAACTGGGCACTGGACTAGATGGACCACTGGTCTGATGCAGCAGGGCTCTTCTTACATTCCTGAGTGAGGTCACCTTGCGCCCAGATGAGTGCCCTGCAGTGTGCATCCACATATGAACCCTGTTTTCAGCTTTGGGTGCAGAATCCCGCTTCCTTGTTTGAACGGGTCGTTTCCTTCCCAGAGTTTAACGTCTCAGTACTGAGGCGTCCTATGCTCCTGCTTCTCTTTCTTTTCAATGCGTTTCTCTGGAAATGTATTTCACAGCTGCCAACATTTTGTTCTCAGGTCACTATTGGGCTTTGCTCTTGGCCGAGAAAGCCCGGGCCTCCACCATGGAAACTTCAAAATCTCCTCTCCGGCAGATACCCGGCTGCAGTATGCTCTTTGGCTTCCTTATTCTTCTTGCCCATGGTGCACTTGGACAAAAAACATCCATCGAACCCACCAGAGAGCCAACCACTTTTGTAGCTTCTACCAGGGTGGGTCCAATTTCTGATACGTCATCAAAAGTCACATTTCGTCCCACTGAATTTCCCACCAAGAAGCTGAAAACAACGGGCACAGGCAGTGATGCCACTTCAGAGGCCCACCCTGTTTCCAAATTGCCGGTCGCCACATCCAGCAACAAGGCGACCACTCCAGTGGGCACACTGTCTCTTGAACAGCTGTCTACACCCAAGCACTTGAAACCACATACCAGCAACAAGGAGACCACTCCGGTGAGCACACTGTCTCTCGAACAGCTCTCTACACCCAAGCATTCGGAACCAGCAACACTTAAACAGACCAAACAGGCTGACACTACCGCAGACAACCATACCTCTGCTAACCAAGAGACAGCCACAACCGTTGCAACTACCCCAGGTGAAACAGAAACAACCAAAGTGGTGGGAAAATCCCGTACAACTGTTGGGGAATCAACGTCCTTTAGCACAACAGCAGCACCTGCTGGGAGCATCGGCCTGAAACCAAGAAGTACAAAGCGAGAAAAAGAAAAAAGTACGACACCAGGACAACATGTTCAGGGTGGCCCCACAGCGCACGATACCAGCAGCCGGGGGCCTGAAGCCCAGCACACAACTGGAACATCTACTATTAAAGCATCAGGAGATGACACTGGGGTGAAGGACGGCCCTTCGAAGGACTTTGGAGGAGTCACTGTGACACCTAACGTTGAAACAACGCACTCTGATCCTAAGCCGACGGCAAGCCCTGCAATGGGCCGCAAAGGAGTCATTGTGGCCATCGTCCTCAGCATCCTACTGCTCATGGTTCTTCTCATCGCTATCCTGCTCTGCTGGCGGCGGCACCACTCTGGTTCGACCAGCTTCAAGACGGCAGGGTGGGCAGGGCAAGTGGCACTGCCGGATGATTCCGGGTTGGATAAAGAGGTAGAGCAAGGGGCGCCGACCGCAGGGGAAGGAGAGGGAAGACGTGCGACCCTCACCACTTTCTTTGGCAGACGTCAGTCCAGGGTGCCTTCTGTAGCCATGGAAGAAGTCGTTCAGAAAGAGACTGGCGATGTAGAGGAAGCCCAGCCTCTGATTGACGGGGATGTGAGTAAGGTCTCCAGTCTGGAAGGGTCCGGGGAACCAAATGGTAAACTTCCCGAGCCCACCGTGCAACAGTCTCAAGAGAAAGAGTTCCCTCCGCCGCCGGCCAACCAGGAGGAGAGTCCTCCTACACAAGTAGAATAGGACACACCCACTTCCTAGGCTCCTCCCACCAGTGAATGCTTCCACTGTTTACACTTCTTCTATTAGATTTAAGGCAGTCTGAAACCTCATTTTACTGCAGTCTCTATTCCCGCCCCCTCTTCTGTCTGTTGTGGGTGGGTGGAGGCGAGAAAGAAACTGTTGCTCCACCATTGTTCAGAAATATCTGACCACATCCTTTTTCCTGTGTGTAATAAACCTGAGTCCACTGATAAAAGGCTACCAGAATGAAGAATGATTCTGAAATAAGCTACAGTATGGACAGCAACTAGAACAGGGGTAGCCGACAGCAGTACACACCAGACCATTTGGCTCGGTATTGAGGGCCAGGTCTCTGCCCAAGCATCCAAAGCACCGGCAGCTCTGCCGCAGCAGAAGTGCAGGAGAAGGCAGCAGTCAAGGCTTATGCCTGTTATCATCTCCCAGTCCTGCAAAGCCACCAGACCAGTAGACTCCAAGACAAATCCCTGAAATGCTGGCAACACCATTGGGGCTTGGCTTGCGCCATATGTGTCTGGCCAAGAAGAACTCTCAAATCCCCCCCCCCAATTTGTTTGCTTGCACAGCAGGATTTTCACAGTTACACACTGCATTTTGTCAGCACTTTGGCAAAAAAAAAAAAGGTTGCCTGCCCTTGAACTAAAACATCTTGTGTAGCAGTCAACAAGCATCACTCTAGAACTATGGTCATGTGATCATGGGGCTACTACCAGTTCTCTAACACTGGGCTTTTCTGCATTTTGGTTTTCCTTGCTTGTGTGCTTCTTTTGGGGGGGGTTCTGTTCCACAAGTATTTTGCTCCCTCTAATGGTCAATTTGATATTACATCACTGTATGTCCAGCATAAAAACTTGCAGGGACATACACTGGGCATAAAGCAATATAATATAGAATCAACCAGTATGGGGAAGCAAAAGTGGAACAGAAAAAAACATGGGAAGCAACAGGAACACACAAGTGAAGAAAATGACAATGTGGGAAAGCCCACTGTTAAATATAAGGGAATGTCTCTAAATTACACATTCTTTCACTACACTGTCTGTTCTCGGTGGAGACGATACAGACAGAAGAACCCAACAATCTTCATTTCCTGTCACCTTTGGTTCACACTCCATCAAACAACAAATTCCTTCTAGAGGACTAGAAATTGAATTTAATGCTGGGTTTTTTGGCAAACATGGGAACATTTATGCGGGGGGGGGGGGGGGAGAACAGCAAAGGGATTATAGTAGATGACGGTATCGGTTGCAGGACGCCTGTTTGTTTTGAGCACAGATTTCGGAAAGAGAATAATTTGCCTGGCTGAATTTTCCTTGATTGCAAAGACTGTTGAGGAAGATCCACGTGTCTTTATTAATAGGGTCGGTGTGGTGTGATTTTTAACTAGGGGAAGGAAAGGAAAGGAGCTGGATTTGGGTCATTTGCCTTTTAAAAAGCCCTTGGATTCTTTACTATCAGAATCAAAGCTAGTTGTATTAGGAACACAATCCAATATACATTTACATTGGTTTCTAAGGGAAATTTTTCTGGATCTAACTTTTCTCTGTCAAAGTGGGTTAAAATTCTCAGGTATTGTACCCTTACCCAAGATATACTTCCTTCCAAAATTTCAGCCAGGCAGGGTAAAGATGAATCCCCATTCTCCCATTCTGTAGGCACTTAAAATTCTCAGTTGTGATTTAAGTACAGAGAGATGTGAATCAGTGTCTGAGAGGGCATTTTCCCATCTTTCCCAGGACCCTCAAACGAGTAGGAGGTGGTCTTTTTCCTCCTTAACAAAATGGCATGCTAAATCTCGCCTCACCCTATGTCTTCCCTCACTACGTCTTTTGTCCTTGTTCCAGCTGAATTTCCTATCATGAGAGGGAAGCCTAAAGTCCGGCCCTACCTTCATTCCCGAATTTTGCCATACTGATCAGTATATGCATGCTTGTTTTTTAAAAGATATCTGGGTAGCTGGTATTGGGAAGGATATTTCTCTGCCTGAGACCCTGGAGATCTGAGGCCACTGAGTTCTGAACCAGGTGGACCAATGGTTTTTCTCAGTATATGTTCACGTCTGTGGGTTAGGGCTTCTAGTGCATATGAGAGAAGGAGAGACCACGGAATCAGAGGGAGTGGTCATCTGTGAATGAGTGCAAACGAACATTGTGAGTTTGGGAATATGCGCTTGAGGGAATGTCTGTCTATGCTGTTCATCTAGGCCGAATAGATTTTCATAGCTTTCTCTTAAGAGAAACTTACTGCAGATTTCGGAAGGGGCTAGGAAGCCAGAACAGTTTATTCTGGTTTAATACCAGCTTAGTTTTTGCAGGTGTATCTTCATGGCACCATCCTTTACTACCCCTACCCCCAACAATGAACGGGAGCTACGCCCAAGGACCAGTATGCCCTTTCCCAGCAGATCTTTCCCTTCCGTCCCGCTTCTCGATCCCAGTTACAGAGTCCTCCACTGTGATATAGTTCCCCTTTGGAATTTTATTTTGTATTATAATTGCCATTATCATTTGCATAGATTTATTATTTGTATGCATGGCTAGAATTAAAGAGTATCAATTCAGATTTTAACTTGGTTCAATTTTTTTTTTTTAGTCCAGGAAATGGTGTGTGTGGGGGAAGTGCTCTCAAGTCATAGCCAATTTATGGCAAGCCTTGGGGGGGTGTCCAAGGTAAGAGAAGAACAGAGGTGGTCTTGCCACGGCCTGCCTCTGCGTAACAACCCTGGGCTTCCTTGCTGGACTCCCATCCAAGTACAAATCAGGGCCGACCCTGCTTAGCTACTGAGATCGGGCTAGCCTGGGGTACCTACAAGCAGGGCTATTTTTGGAGCAGGAACGCACAGGAACGGAGTTCCGGCTGGCTCCTGAGTTGGCCACGCCCAGCAGGAACTCATTAGCATAACAGGCCACACCTAACAGCAGAAACTCATTAGGTTTGGCTTCATTAGGGTGTGTGTGGCCTAACATGCAAAGAAGTTCCTGCTACCAAAAAAAAGCCCAGGGTTTTGACAACAAAGTAAACAGAATAAGAAGCAAAAGGTGGGTGTGGCTAGATGACCACGTTTCTGGTAACATGGAGTGTGGCCTAATATGCTAATGAGCTGTGATGTCAGGGGTGTGGCCTAATATGCTAATGCATTTCTCCTGCTGGGTGTGGCCTATTATGCTAATTAGTTTCTGCTGGGCTTTTTCTACAAAAAAAGCCCTGCCTACAAGTCTAGTAAATAGTGAGGTTGAAATCTGTTGCTACGTTCTCCTAGCATGCCCGTTCCCTTTACTCAAAATGAATCATGTCCCGTCCCACTCACCATTCCCATGGCTGTATCAGTGGGCTTTTCCGCACGTTTGACTTACTCCTGATTTTCTTGACAGTCGATCCGCAGGCATTGGAATCGGTTTGGGCCCTGGTTCTTCCGCACGTCTACTCTTCCTCTGCATTTGCCCTGTTGTAGACTCAGTTTATTTTCTTCTGCGTGTGCCTTAAATAATCATGATGTTCAAAGGAGAATGCTGTCCTCATCAATGGACTCATCTGTGGCATCACAGGCCCCCCCCCTTATTTTTTGAGCATGCTTATAGCAATATATCAATACAATGGCTGCGTAAAAAACCAACTAAAATATCGATACACTGATATATAAAGGTAAAGGTTTCCCTTGCTCGAAAGCCAGTCGAATCTGACTCTAGGGTTGCAGTGCTCATCTCCGTTTCAAAGCCGAAGAGCCAGCGCTGTCCGAAGACTTTTCCATGGTCATGTGGCCGGCATGAGTAAACACCAGGGTGCACGGAACGCTGTGACCTTCCCACTGAAGTGGTCCCTATTTATCTCCTTGCAATTTCTTGCTTTCGAACTGCTAGGTTGGCAGGAGCTGGAACTAGAGACGGGAGCTCACTCCATCATGCGGCACCCGGGTCTCGAACTGCTGAACTACCGACCTTCCACAGCCAGCAGTTCAGCGTCTTAACCACTTGAGCCACCGCAGCTCCTGATATATATATTTGTAATAATAGGCTAAGCAGGTTCCCTGAATTCCCACTTTCATTAAAAAAAAAAGAGTAACACTCTAGCTCCTTCCCTTGCAGAGAAATGCCTTTTTCTTTATATCTCCACCAGTTAAAGGGCTATAAGAAAGAAAGAAAGTTGGGGATTCAGAGAACCTGCTAAACCTACCGTTACAGCGTTATATGAATATATCGATATTTTAGTGAATTTTTTAAAAAAGAAAACCACTTGGCTTCAGAGTGTCTCCAGAGTGGGGGAAGGGGAGGGAGTGGTCTGACGATGATAACAATCCAATTAATGCATAGTGGGTTGGGGGGGGCGGTGGGACAAAGAAAACCCGACAGAAACATTTTGCCTGAGGGAAAACGTGACTCAAAACTGGCTTCCAAGGTGGTCTGAAAAGAAACGGAGAAAACGGGGAACGGTTTTCAAACGAAAAGAAGCAAAAGCTAAAGGCATAAAAATGCATGCAGAAATGAGGGGAATAAAATAAAATAGTATGGGGCCAGAACTGACAAAAAAAAACCCCTGTGACCAGTGTCCCTTAATGGTTTTTCAAAAATCCTTCCAGAATCCTTGATTCTTTTTATACACAGTGAAGCAGTTTTAGCTGTTTAGGCACTATGAAGTGAAGACTGGGTCTATTAATTACATTTTCCCTACCTTTATTGAAAGATCCCGTGGTTGGTTCTGTTAAATCCTTGGATGCTATGGGAGAGCAGCCTGGTCCTAACTGTACAGATGACTTTCAGTTGGAATGGTCTGATGGAGTGAACAGGCTTCTTAGCCCGCCACATCTGGGCTCGATCTTTTTTTTTTTTTGGTTAAACTCTTTTATTTAAGGATATAACATTGTAATCATCATTTTTCATCACATTTTCTTCTTAATATATCCATTTTCTCTACTCCCCTTATCCCCCCTTACATGGCTTCCCGCAGTGCGATTTCCCCTTTATCTATTTTTCATTTCACCCATCCATCAGTTTCCCCCATAATACAGTTAAGTCTTCAGGTAACTTTTCTAACAAATATAATTTCTATAACTTGTCTTTTTCCATAGTCCAATCTACTAGTTATCAAAGCCTATTAATGTATTTTTCACATCCCATCTAGCCTCTACATATTCCTTGAAGTCTTTCCATTCTTCATAGAATTCTTCATCTTCTTTGTTGTTTAGCTTCCTTGTTAATTTATCCATCTCCGCCATAAAAAGCACTTTTTTTATCCAGTCCCAAGTCTCTGGTACCTTATTTTGTTTCCAAAATTGAGCATAGGTCATTCTTGCAGTAGTAATCAAATATCGTAACAATGTTTTTTTTTGCTACATTAACCTCTTCCATCTTAAGGCCCAAAAGCAATATTTCTGGTTCTTTTTTAAATGTACCTTTTTAAAAAATTTGTATCTCATTGTGGACATCTGTCCAATAAGCCATAGCTTTTTCACAAGTCCACCACATATGATAAAATGAACCTTCATGATTTTTACATTTCCAACACTTATTTGACATATTCTAATTCATGTTTGCTATTTTTTTTGGAGTCATATACCACCTATACATCATCTTAAAACAATCAAGGCTCGATCTTGATGGCTAATAGCAGAGGTCGTTTTGTAGAAAAA